CTAACTTCTTGCTGTATATTGAGGATTCTGGGGAGGAAGATGTTATGATCCTGACCAATTTCGAGATACACATCCATCAGAAAGTACAATGCCGTCCAATTGTAGAAAGAAATGAATGAACTTGAGAGGAGAGAGAGAGGATTAGAAGAAGATAAAGAAGTAAGAAAGAAGAAGAAGATAATGTACACCATCAAAGACAAATAGCAAGGTTGTTCTTCTTCACCCAACAATCTCCTCCTCCTTATCCCTCCCTTCTCTTATTCATACAAGAAATCTTAATACAATGTTGAATGGATGATCCAGAATCAATGTCCGAGTTCCTCTTCTACTGCAGGTATCACTTGAGGTCCACCACAGCCATGGCCGCCTCTCCCACTCTTCACTCTCATAGGCCAAGGTTATGGCGGACTACTAGGCCTTGCCCAGATGCCCAAAGGACAACCCAAAGCAGCTATGGCTGCTCTAGCTCCGACTGCCATGCCTGACCTTGCCTTGAAGCTTCTTGGTGTAGCCTTCCTCAGTTGGGGACTCTCTGCTGCAGCGCCTTCCATGGTGATTAAGATGGCTGCCACCATAGCCAGGTAAGTACCTCTGGCGCTCCTCCCCCCTTCCTTCCTTCTTCCTCCCTCGTGTCATTCTCCTTCCTCCCCAGCAGTGCTTCTCCGGCATAGCGCTGCTCTAGCCAACGTGTCGCCAAACTTGCACACCGAAAAAGAAGTCGGGCTCTTCACCCGACGGGGAGATATAGCGGCCTGCTTGCCTCTTCGGGAAGTGACTTCCAGGCCGCTCGGCCTTCTAAGCAACCGGTACCTCCCCCCTTTCGGAGGGAAACATCATTGCAGACTCTGATGTTGCCCATGCAGGCCCTAGACCTAGACTGGTTGGACTGATATCCGCCTAGACCTAACCCACAACTACAGGGCCTCTAAAAACTATGAATCCCCCTCGGCGGCGGACATCCGCAGACCCGTCCGCAGCCCCGCGGACGCGCGGACACGTGGCGGCCAATTGGGAGGTCCGTTCGGAATTCCGAAAACAGCTCCCGGCGGCGCATCGGCGTCCCTAGGCTTGCGCACAGAAAAAAAAAACAAAGAGTAATTTTCAGTGGGGGTCACTTTTGGTTCCCTATTACCCCCTGAAAAAAAATACCCCCACCCCCTTTTTGCGATTTTGTCGAAGCGGGTGTGTTCGACACGTCGCAATGTACGTGTCGACGAAAAAAAAAAAAATTCCGGCGGTGGTTGGGTGTTTGGGGAGGGGGTTATTCATTATGGGCTTTTGTTGCGTGTTGGGGTGGCAAATGGTGTGCGTTGGAAAAAGTAGGTCGGTGGGGACAGTTTGGGGGGCGCCCGTTTGCTGTCTGTGGGGCCCGTTACGGTGGGGCCCGTTTGGGTGGGGCCGGCTTGGTGGGGCCCTTCTGCTGGTTATCTCATCCCATTTGGTGGGGCCCTTTTGGGTTGGTGGGGCCCATTTGGGTGGGGCACGTTTGGTGGGGCGCGTTTGGGTGGGGCCCGTTCGGGTCGAGCCCGTTTGGGTGGGGCCCGTTTCCCGGTTATCTCATCCCATTTGGTGGTGCTCGTTTGGGTTCATGGTGCCCGTTTGGGTGGGGCCCGTTTGGGCGGCCCATTTGGTGGGGCCCATTTCGGTGGGTCCCATTTGTTGGGGCGCGTTTTGTGGGGCCCATTTGGGCGGTGCTCGTTTGCGGTGTGGCCGGCCCGTTTGGTGGGGCCCATTTGGTGGTGCTCGTTTTGTGGGGCGCGTTTGGTGGGGCCCGTTTGATGGGGCCCGTTTGGTGGAGCCGTTTGGGTGGGGCCGGTTTGTTAGGGCCCGTCTGCTGGTTATCTCATCCCATTTGGTGGGGCCCGTTTGGGTTGGTGGGGCCCGTTTGGGTGGGGCCCGTTTGGGTGGGGCCCGTTTGGTGGGGCCCGTTTGGATCGCGCCCGTTTGGGTGGGGGCCGTTTGGCGGGGCCCGTTTGCTGGTGATCTCATCCCATTTGGTGGTGCTCGTTTGGGTTCGTGGGGCCCGTTTGCGGTGTGGGCGGCCCATTTGGTGGGGCCCATTTGGGTGGTTCCCGTTTGCGGTGTGGGCGGCCCGTTCGGTGGGGGCCGTTTGGTGGGGCCCGTTTGGTGGGTCCCATTTGGTGGTGGTTATCTCATCCCATGTGGTGGTGCTCGTTTGGGTGTGGGCGGTCCGTCTGCTGGTTATCTCATTTGGTGGGGCCCGTTTACGGTGGTGCTCGTTTGGGTGTGGGCGGCCCGTCTGCTGGTTATCTCATCCCATTTGGTGGTGCTCATTTGCGGTGTGCGCGGTCCGATTGGTGGGGCCCATTTGGGTGGGCCCCTTTGGTGGGGCTCGTTTGGTGGGGCCCGTTTGGTGGGACCCATTTGTCGGTGTCCATTTGGGTTCAAGTTCATTCATTTCTTTTCGCATGGTGGGGCCCGTCTGCTGGTTATCTCATCCCATTTGGTGGGGCCCGTTTGGGTTGGTGGGCCCCGTTTG